GTCATAGTGGCGAATTGTATACATTCTTGTAGGCCTTACTCTCTCTTTCCTTCTTCTTTTTAATATCTTTTTACTTAATACGAAGGCATGTAATAAAGGAGGCTCGGGATGTTTTATAAAACATAAAACAAATAACTGTTCATTCCTCACTAATTTGTTCCATTATAATCTATAGTATGTGCGACTTGTAATTTGACAATTTTTAATCGATGTTTGAAGTGTTGCTATGTGAACTTAAGCTCGAATGTAGGCCGTTATATACAGATTATCTTCTTACCAGGATCGCGGTAATATCTTACTTCACGCATTGTCAGACTTAATTAAAACCATCTTTCCAAAGTTTTGGGAACCTCGTTTCCTCGTTTGTATTTCTTGCTTGTTTGTGTTTTGTAACCGCACGTTGGCCGGAAATACATACCAACATTACCACAACGTGATACATTTTAAAAAGTAATAACTAATCATGGATTGGTCATCTTATATTCTCAAAGATTTCCAACTATTTGATATTTCGGCATTGCGAAAATGATCTTAATGAGGGCTATCTTAATATTGATTTGGGTTCAATATACAAGATGAGTAATGAGAGAAACAAATCAGTTGAAGTCAAGGGGCAATTAATCCGATAAAGGAAAAGAAAGTTTTGGAGTATTCATTTGCGATCCATCAAACAAAGGTTGACAACTTTGGAATTTATCTTGCAGATATTTCTCCTATATTTTATTTTTTTGAAGAGGAAAAACTCTTTTTTTTTCCTCTGTATTAAAAATTAATCTCTCGCTGCGTCCTCGATATATAGTTGTTCAGAACCTCTTTACGAAGTAGAACCATTCCTTCATTTAAAAAGAAGAAAATGTATATTTATGAAAAAATACGTCACTGCGTAGTCAATTTAATATGTTATTTTAAATCACAACTTCCTTATTTCATTAAAATTACCTCAAATCTTTCTTTTTTCGTTTTTCTCATTTTTTTGTCCACCTTTACTTACAGGTTTAGTGAAAATTTAAAGTACTCAGCTAGATGACGAGGCCTTTATTATTTTTCTCTGCATCTCTTTTTCTCTATTCTCTCTTTCTCTTTCTCTCTCTCTCTCTCTCTCTCTCTCTCTCTCTCTTTCTCTCTCCTCCTCTTTGGCTCTCTCCCTCCTCTTTCTCTCTCCCTCCTCTTTCTCTCTCTCTCTCTCTCTCTCTTCCCCCTCCCTCTCTATATCTCTTTCCATCTTCATCCAAAAAACACGAAGGGTATCATGCCCTTCATAATTCCCATCCATGTCCGTCATGTCTAGCACAGTCTACAAAACTAGTCTCAAATACGTTTACTCCATCTTCATGATTAACTCTTTCTGTGTAGCGAGTTCTATAATACCGTATATCCGTGGTGATGTGAGTAATAATGAAAATAATACATACAGTGATTATGTTTGCTTCATTTTTGGAATGGTATCCGAAATTTTAGCAACCAGTGGTTCGTCAAATTCTAAATTCGAATTCACTTACGGGTCTGTTTGCGCAGACTTGAAGCTGGCCTGTCGGGCGGGGTGTTGAGTTGTGAAAGCTTTGCTGGGGGTGCGAGAGAGGACAATTAATTATGCATGTTTGCCGGTGATAGTGGCAGCAACTCGCGCACGAAAATAAGCGAGTGGCGACAATTCATTATGCATGAAAAGAGGTTGGGTGGTCATATGTCATCTGCTCGTCTTAATTGTAAAATTAAAATGTCTCTTTATGGCTGGAAACGTTTGATATTACCAAGAAGAAATGTGTTAAGCGACGGAGAAATAATTTTTAGTCACACCCACTCATATTGTGTAAAGCGAGGCACTTGATTTTGTAGAATCGTTTTAATTTTCATAATGTAGACCAATGAAGACAAAAAATAATTATTACTGTTAGGGGTTAATGCGAGAAATGACATGACATATTATATTATAAACAAATATAAAACATATTGCAATTATAACAAAAATGCAAATTTATAACATAAATATATAATAATATAAGCAACGCATCAAATTGAGGATATATGCATTTGGAAACATGATTATATATTAATAAACGTGTGTCAACATTAGGCGGAAGCTATAAGACCTGGTTATAAAATTATGAATCAAGCCACAATAGTATAATGTAGAGGAGAAGAAGAAGAAGAAGAAGGAGGAGGAGGAGGAGGAGGAGGAGGAGGAGAAAAAGAAGAAGAAGTAGAAGAAGCAGAAAAGAAGTAGAAGAAGAAGAGGAAGAAGAAAATAAGAAAAAAGAAGAGGTAGTAGTAGTAGTAGTAGTAGTAGTAGTAGTAGTAGTAAAAGTAGTATAGCAGCAGCAAGAGCAGCAACAGCATCAGTAAAACAAGAAAAACAGAATAAGTGGAAGAGGAAGAGAAGGAGGAGGAAGAGAAGAGAAGTAGGAGAAAGACAAGAAGGATGGAGAGAAAAAGAATGAAGTTTTTTTTTAAAGGAGGAAGAGAAGAAAGAAAAACAAAAGAAGGAGGAAGAGAAGAAGAATGATAAATAGGAGAGGAGGGAGAAGAAGGTGGAGGAAGAGAATATGGAGGAGTAGTAGAATAGGAATAAGAAAAATAAAAACAAAGAGAAGTCGAAGAAGAAGTAAAATATAAAAAAAAATAAGAGGAAAAAGGGATCTTGAAACTTTGGAAACTTAGTTGGCCATTCTGATTAAAGTTTACACTAAATTACAATATGTTCATATTCTATTTTATAACCCAGTGTTAATTTTGTTTGTTAATTATTGTTTTATATTCAAGTTTTGGTTTGTTTATATTTCAAGAAAATAAAGTTGTGACATTCTCTGAGTGGATGATGAATATAAGCTTAGATATATATTGGTAGGAGACAGCATTCCTCATTAAATACATTTCGGATCACAATGGATGCCTGAAGCAAAAAAGGCATTGGATTAAACCCCTAAATCTTGTTAACTCTGTTTGCAATCAAGCTAAGCGATCACTCCCCATAAATAGCACCGTTTGAGACAGAGACATAGACAAGAGATGGCTTTAACATATTACAATGACAGGACAATTCAGACTAGAGCAAGAGCACGTTTGTTTGTTTGTTTTTATTTTGATTACTGGTAAGGCCAATGTTGTATACTTTTAGTCAGTACACAGTTATTTTAGTCTTGTTATATGAAGCCGGGGCTCGAAAGTTAAAGATTATATCATCCCTCTCTCTCTCTCTCTCTCTCTCTCTCTCTCTCTCTCTCATCTCGCACTTCCTCCCCTTCTTTCTCTCTCTCTCTCTCTTTATACTCCTCCTCTTTCTCCCTCTCTCTCTCTTTCCTTCCCCTCTACCTCTCCGTCCCTTTTCTTACTTCCTAAAATGAAAACAATACAACCATTTTGAAGCCATCTTTTGCCTCGCAAATTCTAACTAGATCACTTGATCCCAGAAACTTGTTACAAAGAACAGTGATGTAACAAATTAATATTGGAAGAAAAAAAATAATAATAAAAGTAGTATTATGACCCCGGCTTTAGCCCAGCCGCCCTAAGGCATATAACATAGTGAATTTGCCGGTCCAATTTATCTGTATTCTTTTGTTTTTGAGCCCTACAAAAATAAGGTAGCTATTGATAGGACAGGAGTTTGTTATAACAATTTTCCACTGTATGACAATTAATCGTGCTGTGCTCAGTAACCCAACTGAAGGAATTCCGAACTGCAACCCTGCACCAGAGAGTAAACATAACCCCAGCCCATACAATAATCCTAACCTAAAGCCCAATTGCAATCCTAAAACCTAACTCTATACCTATGACAAAATATTGCCCAGAGCAATTGTCACCGGAGCATATGTTGGAGCATCCCAAAATCTAGACAATAAATCTGTTTGCTTGTAGTTTGTTAAAACATATCTTGTCTCTTGATGCCTTCCTGAAGCCAGATGTAATCTCAGCACAACATATCCCCGAACGATTTTGTACTGATTTTCAGTCTTACCATATCACACGTGAGCAGGGAAGTCCAGCCTCAAGGTTATAATTAAGTAGCTTTGGCCTTGAACCTAGTCACAAAACCTATGGCAGGTAATATTTTTCAGCAGAACTCCAGGTCATGACAACATCAATACAGAGCACCCCAACATCACACCGTGGACACTCTCTGCAGTTCCAGACACTCTTTGCAAGGACTCTATCAATACAGAGCACACCAACATCACACCGGGGACACACTCTGCAGTTCCAGACACCCTTTGCAAGGACTCTATCAATACAGAGCACCCTAACATCACACCGTGGACACTCTCTGCAGTTCAAGATACCCTTTGCAATGACTCTATCAATACAGAGCACCCCAACATCACACTGTGGACACTCTCTGCAGTTCCTGATACCCTTTGCAAGGACGCTATCAATACAGAGCACCCCAACATTACACCGTGGACACTCTCTGCGGTTCCTGATACCCTTTGCAAGGACTCTATCAATACAGAGCACACCAACACCACACTGAGGACACCCTCTGCAGCTCCAGACACCCTTTGCAAGGGACTCAATCTATCACAGGCCATCCTTTCCACACTCTATTAATGATATGGGAAACTTTTTGCCATCATAAACCTTTTAACCCTACGTCTGCTAAATTTGTCAACCAGAAGGCACAGAGCACTGGCCAGGTGAGTTTGGTAAGTTTCTTAATGGGCGGGTGGGGCTGCTCAATATTTTTGGCTTGGTTTGACAGCTAGTTGATTTGTGGTATTAGGGCCAATTGATCATATAATTATGACCAAAACATGGGGAAATTTAAGAATACATATCTTTCATGTTGATTGGGTTAGTGCAGCTTACAGTCCGAGACAATATTTCAGTCCAGTCCCTAAACTTTTTATCTCCGTTTGGCCCATGTTTCAATTCAATTCAATTTTATTTCACAATATATAAATGTTTGTAGACATTAAACCATTACTCCTACTGTTGTGCCAACATCCATTATAGAATGTTGGTAAAGCCTACATATGAATGAAAAACAAGTCAGACAAATCTTTGCATTTTCAACTAGACCTCCTTCAGGCTAGATTTTATTCAAATATATACTTATTGCTATGATGCCACTTTATTACACCATTGAGGTTATAAAAATAATTGTTGGCAACTTGAGGAGGCAATGCTGACTTATTTGAGCCTCATCAGAAAATTCTGAACTGCTATTGATTAATAATGCCAGTGTTGCTTGATACGTTTTTTCCTGCAAACATACCAGAGTGTTAAGGGGCTTAAACTAGACTTAAATGTCTTTGAAGAATGCGTTTAGTTGTGTTTTATCCACCTAGTTCTTCATTTCATGGGTATGAAGAAACATAATAGATATATTCCTTTTTCAGCTCCTGAGTTCAAAGTGGCAAAATTGTGAAGAAAAAAAAAAGACTTGTAAGAATGCATGAGATTCCCCTTCTCAATCCACTCTCACTGTCATTGATTCTCCATCTCTTTTGTATACAGAGTCATGGTGAATAAAGAGCCAGAGTATCTATAGGCAATATGGACAGTGCGTCTTGTAAAAACACCCTCAGTTGTCCTGTTCTATCCATTTGGTTCTTTGAACTCCTCTCCCGGATATGAAGAAACATGGTGGATAAAATGCCCAAAGCTGCTCGATGCACAGTGTTTCTTGTGACAGTGTCTTCAGCTGCCTACGCCCGTTCAATTCCCAGTAATTCTTCACCCTGATGTGGAGAAACATGGTAGATTAAATGCCCAAATTTGTGCGATGTACTTCTTCAAACACGCAAAAAGGACAGTGCGTCTTGTGAGAGTGCGTTGAGCCTTCAATCCAGTTAATTCTTCTCCAGGATGAGGAAAAAGCAGAGATGACAAAATGCAGCATGTCATGATGGGCAGTGTGTCTTGAGAGAGTGCCTTGAGCTGCCCTGCCCTGTTCAATCCATGTTATTCTTTTCACGGATGAAGAGAAGCAGAGAGGATAAAATGCAGCTTGTCACGGTGGTCTCCGTCACGTCCTGTCCGGTCTGGCTGACATAGCTCAGCGTAACCGGATAAAATGCCAAAAGTTGCGCGATGTACTTTTTCAAACACGCAAAAAGGACAGTGCGTGTTGTACGAGTGCCTTGACCTGCCCTGGCCTGTTCAATCTGGGTGATTCTTCTCCCGGGTAAGGAGAGGCAGAGAGAATGAAATGCAGCATGTCACGGTGGTCTACGTCACCTCCTCTCCGGGCTGGCTGACGCTGCTCAGTGTAACAGTATTCAGCTATGGAATGACGGCCGAATATCATCTGCAATTTAAAGATTTACAGAGAAATTCCATGAAAAAGCATCCCATATGACATAGGTTAAAGGTTATAGGTCATTTCATCCAAAATGATAATTATTTTGATATAACCATCACCTAATAGTTCTTGTTGTTACCTTTACTATAAATCCCTGATCATGGGGCATAATAAATTGATAAAAGCCTTATATCTTAAAGACGCATAGGAGTGCCGTGGGCTTTCATGAGGAATTCGACATCATTCGGTTGTTTACCCAATAATAGGTGTTATCAATCTCCAGGATTAGCCTTCAGTTTTATGACCAACTGGCCATATGTAATGCTTTGCGTTTTCCAACCATCCCCTGTATAGTAAAGTCATTATCTTACATTTCCCTCACCTGAAGACTATCTGAGAGACTAGGGGGTATTTCTTGACGGAACCATGGGTTGGCTGTGTACGTGACTTGTACACCCATTGATGGTATTTCCACCAAGTCTGGTGTCAGTAAATTATAGATTTCTGCACATGGAAACAGACCACCCCTTCCTTTTAACGGAATTATATCACAGCATTGCCTTACATAAATGTGATTATGAAGTGAAAAAAAAATACATTGAATGACTATAAAATCTGACATTATATTGTGACTTCCAAAACTGAAATCTGTATGGATCTGTCAAAATTTACACAAATTCTCAAACGACTTGGTCTGAGATAAGTATTAGAATGACCCCATACCTGACAGATTTCCTCGGGCGGAGTGACCAGAGCTTGAGTGAATGGTCACTTGGCTGTACTGGGTCCATCTCCTCGTCACTGTCGTCTCCATCACTACCACCGGCCAAGCTCCTCCAAGGATTCTCCAGCCTCCGCTGACCGGATGCGGTCGCCATGACAGGCAGATGGGGATGAAGACTGGAGGGAAGACAAAGATGATGAAAGATGGGATATTGATTGGTGAAGCCCTCCACATATTGTATGATCCTACTATGGTCCAATTTTGGAAAAACTTTGCAAAATGTCATTAGATATATAAAGAATATCAAACAAATTTCCTGATTGACATAATAGTAATATAAATACTTAAAGGTATAGACCAGTTATGGTCATGCGGTTGCATCGTGAAAGAAACGTTGTGGAATCTATCAGGAAAGGTTGATCATCTAGCATATAAGTATAGGTGTGTACTGCGAGGTTCTGGAATCATCAAAATGATAAGAAATTTGGCCCAGTCTTGGTAAAGTTACAAGCACTGTACACAGAAAGATGTATATTGGACTATCCTATATCTATCCAGTCCAGAAATTTGAATCATCACGTATTAGTCAAAACATATTCTTTGACATGATTGGTAATAAGAACTTCCATTTCATTTTTTTGAGCGGGGGGCGTTTCCAAAACTGGTCTTTACCATTAATTCAAAATTGCATACTACGGCAGACTTTTTAGCCAGAGAAAAGGCTAAATCAGCTTCATTTCAGCAAAGGTCTTGCATGTACTACCAGCTGCAGTTGATATAGCCTTTACAAATTGTCATATCTACGGCATTTTTAGGGCCTGCAAATGAGACATAGTACCTTTAAAGGGTTTGGGTAGCTTTGTCTCAGATTCTGAAACAAAATCCTGGATTTAGCTCATGCTGCAATGATAATTATAAACCTTAAGGTCAGCCAGGAACCCAATGACTTTAACAAGCCAATCCGTTTGCCTGTCTGATTATCAAGATATTTATGATTGAAAAACTAAACCAAATTTTGCGTTTTCCTAACGGTTTTCTTAACTCTACAGTCTATTTGGGAAAACGAGTATGGTATAACCAGTCACTCAAAGATTTTTACTTTTACTTTTTTGAGGCACTTCTTGATCATTTTGAAGCTTAATTTGTTTAGGGCTTCAATATTACACAATATCACAGACACTGATAACACGTAGGGACATGCATCTCAGATTTTTCATTGTTAAACGATGCCTTTAAAGAAATCTTAATGTACGCTAGGATGCACTCGAAGCGGATGCAATGTTAGGGGAAGCTCTATCAATACCTGATGCCATTGACACAGTCACTGTGAGTCTTGTAGTTGTAGGAAGAGAGAAGGACTGGGTCTGAGTTACAGTCGTCCATGGATGAGGCGGGTGGCTGAGACGTGTCCCATACGCTTACGGTTCCGTTCTGGTTGCCTGATACAAGGTATTGCCCATTGCTGTAGTGTTGAAGAAATGAGAAGAGAGAGAGAGAGGGAGTGGAGGGAGGGAAAGGGAGTGGAGAGGGAGGGAGAGATAGAGAGGGAGGGAGGAAGGGAGGGAGGGAGAGAGAGGGGGAGGGAGGGAGAGGGGGAGGGATAGACGGAGAGGAAGGAGATAGAGAGTGGGAGAAAGAGAGAGAAAGAGAGGATATGGAGAGAGAAGAGAGAGATAGAGAGATAGATAGAGGGAGAGGGAGAGAGAAATGACAGAGGGGTACAAAAGTGTGATAAGAGAGATAGGGAGGGGGAGCGGGAGAGTGAGAGAGTAAAATATCAAGAAAGAGAGGGAGAGAGACAGAGAGAGAGAGAGAGAGAGAGAGGGAGGGGGGAAGAGAGAGCAAACATTTATTGATCCTCTTATCAAGGCATTACACTTCAGACCAGCTCAAAATCCTTCATTTACATGTAGAGGTGTTGTGGTCTGTAGGGGTGCTTTGGTCTGGTGGACAAGTCTCCAGACTAGACTGTGGACCACAAGGTACTGGTTTGAATCCCTGCTGCAACACTGAAATCCTTTGGCAAGACATTAACCTACATTTGCCACACTCGACCCAGATATTGTAAGATGGTACCTTCTATCTCTAAAGGAGGGTGGGATGGGCCCCCAACTCCCATATATTCAACAAATTGTATGTTACGAATAAATCATATCTTTTCCTTTACTTTCTGGGCATGAGATTTGCAGAGTGTTTTCTTCTTCATCTTTTCACTTTTCTTTCTCCCTCTTCTCCTTCCCCTTCTCCCTCTCATAATCCTCCCTCCTCTTCTCCTTCTTCTTCCTCTTCTCCTCTCCCTCTTCTTCTTTTGTAGAAGGAGGAGGGGAAACATTTAGTAAACTCCTTCAAATGTTGCTGATCAGTCTTCAATCATCTCACCTGTCTATATCAAAGTAGACCCTCTGATGTGTAGATACCTCTCTTAGAGCACTGTTGAGCACCTTCCCAGGGTTACGGACGTCCCAACATAGAATCTCCTTATCCTGTGTCAGTGGAAATAGAAAATGAAAGCTAGATAACAAAATTGGACCTTCATGGGCTGTCTACGATGAGAGAGGAAAAGAGCATCCAGGGTTTTGTATCATCTTTGGAACATGGAGTTCCATTACCATTGAGATATTTTGTTAGATAATATATTTATGATGATGACGGTGATGGTGGTGGTGATTAGAAGAAGGAGAAGAAGAAAGAGAAAGAGAAGAGGAAGAAGAAAGAGAGAAGGAAGAAGAAGGAGAGAAAGAAGAGGAAAACGAAGAAGGAGAAGAAGAAGAGTAAGAAGAAGAAGAAGAAGAAGAAGGAGAAGATGATGAAGAAAAAGGAGAAGAAGAAGAGGAAGAGGAACAAGAACAAAAACAAGAGGAGGGGAGGAGAAGAAATAGTACAAGAAGAATAAGAAGAGGAGAAGGAGGGGGAATAGAAAAGGAAGAAGAAGGAGGAGGAGAAAAAGAAGAAGAAGACTGACCACCTTCAAGTTGGTTAATTTCTCTACCCATGACCTATTTACAGAAAATTCATTTGCCAGGTTTTTCCTGACCTCCAGGATAGTTTGAACCCTGTATCTCTCTTCCACATACCCTCCTATCATTTGTAAGCCTCATTCATTTTTCCATCCAGTAATCAGTCTTATAACGCTTTCATAACTACCTCGAAAGTCTATTAGCAACGATGCAATCATGACCAACGAAACATCATAAGCTCTATTCATTTCCCCATTCATTATCTAACAACCACTATCATCACTACCCCGCAAGTATATCAGCAACAAAGCACTCATGGCATAAGAGACAGTTCTCACCTTTCTCCCTCCACTGTAGAGTCTATTCATGTCTGAAGAGAACATGAGATGGGTTACTCCACCACTCTGTCCCTCAAGAAGGCACACCAGGTTGTTGTTGTCGTTTGTATACAGACCAACTGAAGAACAAACAGAAGCAGAAATGTAATAGTTTATAAACGCTTTCTCAAACTATTAGTTGGCCTTGGAATAGATGAACTGATTATTAATTTGTTGTAGAATGATAAGCAACCCTACAATATCACACATATCACACATATGATTTACAAAATCGCTTTACGAGGAGGCACGATAGCTCAGTTGGTAGAGCAGATGTCTAGTAATCCAGTGACCCGGGTTCAAAACCAAGTCGATGTGCTAGTGTCCTTTGGTAAGGCATTAATCCTCATTACCAGGTCCCTCGGAGAGGACCTAAAGCTGTCGGCTGTCGGGTTGCGTATTAACAAGCATTTATGCTTTCTTAGCAGCCAGGTAAAATAACCACCACACATATCACAATTTTCAAGTAAAGTGATAGGTGCTTACTTATATAAAATAATGAATTATATACAATATTATAAACCATAATACACCATTTACAAGATCGAAAGAAAGTATCTCTGTAATAATTCCACAATCATTACAGCACAGATATTTACCAAATTTTGAATGAGAACCTGATGCACACACCCGCAGTTCATTATATAAGCCATTACATGTACTAAAATTCAAACATATTTACATTTACACTTTAATAAAAACCTTGCAATCAATTGACAGGATTTACAGAAATATTGCTTAATTAATCACACAACTGTGATGACAGAGATATTTACCTGATTTGGAGAAAAGAACCTACTGCATACATTTTTTATCTACAATTCATAATTAAAGACATAACTCAACATTAAAAGACATTCACAACTTACAATCTATATAGAACACGATATTAAATATATAATATTTACTGAAGGATCTCATGGTAAACATTAATCACACAACTGTGATGGGAGAGATATTTACCAGATTTTGAGTAAGAGCCTGCTGCATACATCTTGAGTTCAGGAGCCATGGCAAAGCAAGAAATGATTCCAGTCTGTCCATTCATACTCTTCTCTGTGAACCAAACAAAAGTTGAAATTTAAATCAATCCACAAATGTTTGGATCCCTGGCAGGCACTGACATTCTCTTGTAAGTCATTAATCTACATGTGCCACTCTCTACCCAGGTGAAGGAAAGTTGGGTAATGGATAGGAAGAAATTTATTGCATGCTTGGGTGTTGTATCATGGTAGCTTGGATCATACCAAATTATGATTATAAGGACCTCAGGAAGAACAGTTTTATTACGGATAAATCTACCTGGGTTAAGATAATAAGTATCAGTACTGATGGTGGAGCAAGGTTGACGATCTGAACATAACTTTATCTCTTACATCACCAATTATATATGAAATCATATTGGTATTTTTACCTCCTTCGTCTAGTATTTTATACACCAGAGAGGAGAGCAGCAATAACGATCAAATGCCATGAAGACATTTTCTTGTCTGTTTCTAAGTGCATTACATCATACACACACCAAACTTGGTGAAATTTCTTGAAATTACTAGTTGTTGTGTGTATCTAAACTCTTGCATGCAGAAGCAACGATACTCTTTGTCCCACAATGAACTTGCTGGGGAGTCTTGGAAAGCTTTCTGTTAACTTTAAGATTCAGAAACCATAATGATGATGTTTCCTTTCTGAAGATCGTGGAATGTACGAGCTTTACGTCAGCCACGTTGGTCGTAAAAGCAAAGTCCACTCTTGGTGATTGCAGAAGTGTCGTAGTCGAATTGTTTAAGCCCTTGACTTGAAATTCAAGGTCGTTATTCAATCCCTGATATGGCACTAATGTCCTTAGGCAAGGTATTAATCTTCATTTTCCACACTCGACCCAGGTGAGGTAAATGGGTACCTGGCAGGAATTAATTTCTTGAAATGCAGGAGCGCTGTAATGGCAGCTAGGTTAAAGCTCGGGTAATAATAAATTTGCCTTGGAATAGAATTTCTAGATAGACGGTGCTATAGAAATGCCTATAATTATTAAGTATCATTATTGATAACATCCCTAATGGGGTAAATAGCCAAAGGATGTCAAGTTCCTCATGAAAACTGACGACTGTAGAATAGGGACTTTTTGTTTTACACGACGAGAGCGTGGACTGCCGCGTGTGCCATTGTGTTAAGGCACTGGGCCGTGCCCGGCAGTGCCTTAAAAGAGCGTCACATTACCTTAAAAGGATGTCACACGTGGCGGTCCACATTCTCGTTGTGTAAAACGAAAAGTCTCTAATATGATTGATAATAAACAGGTAGAAATTGTAAATCACTTACTTTTGGTGGGAACGACCTCACACTGTGAGCCTGGCCTGTCTGTGTAGAAAATTCTGATAGTCTTGTTAAAACCACAGAAGATACGTCGTCCGTTCTTTGAGAAGCAGAGCGAATGTGGGGTGGAGAGCTCATCCTGATCAAAGAAGAGACAAGAAAATAAATAGAACATATTCATAATTTAATCAAATTTAATGCATAAATCTTTGTTAAGTGCTGCATTCCCCCCTTACAAATAAATGTATTTCAATAGTCAGAATGCGATTTGCATACATTAATTGTTAGGTAGGACAAACATTATAAATTTTCCTACCTTACAACACAGAATGTGTTGACAATTATCAATAAAATGTATAATAATGTACTGGATTTTAAAATTTATACAGTGCTTAATAATAAGAGTTTAAACAAATAAACAAAAAAGAGTTGACCCCTTTGATTGTTACAAATACTTCAGGTTGAAGCTATAGCAGAATGAGGTTTGCAACCTTGCAATTTGAAAGATGTCAAATTTGAATGGAGTAAGTTTTGATTTTATGGTATTTCTCCATACTATTTGTCCAAAGTATAGTTTTGTTACATTTTATGTGTTATGAATGGAAATAAATTTGTATTGAATTGAATTTAATATAATTCTGATGAGATTTTTTTTTTGCAAACCAGGGCCACACATCTGGGTAAAAAAATCAGTAATTATTTCAGAACACAGCAATGTCACTATGACTTGCAGCTTAACTTCTAGAGCACCTCCCATTAGCCAGAATAATGAACTATTACCTAACCCTAACCTCCTTGTAAACCTCAATCACAAACCTATATTATATATCTGTTGACAAAAGCAACTGTCGCCCAAGCAATAGACCAGTTCAAGGTTAGCACATGTCCCAAAGGACCCTGAATATCCACAGATCTTCAAAACATGAAGAGGTCCCACTTTGTACATTTTGAAATAATCACTCCTACAGCGATTGGAGGTGCTACATAAATAGCCTTTGTTTCCCCTTTTCAAAGAATACTTCCACCTGTGTATCATGGAGTGCATAAATGAATAACGGTTACATAACTTTCATGAGCATTCAGTGTATTTTGTCTCCATGTTTTTCACAATTTGGTCTGCAATGACCTTTATCTGCTCATGCTCAGACGGCAACTACAAACTAGCTTATTGTCACCAGAGTGATGTTACAGGAGCATATTTTGGATCATCTACTCACCACTGAATTAATAGGCTTGTAAGTCCCTCTGAGCTTGCCAGTGAATGCATCCCATAAATGAATGGGATGGTCTCGACTTGTGCTGGCCAAACTGATTTTGGAGAAAGAAAAAAAAATGATTCACATTTTCTTTAGTATCACTGTTCTGATCTGCTACCATGTAAATTCTGAATTTGCAGCAATTTTTATGAATCAGGGATTACCAGGTTGCAAAATAAGAGGAATAAGTGTTCAAAATAAATCATGAGACATGAGTTGAAATCAAATATTTAGTGTCCATTCAGAAATTTGTTTTTCACTGTTAAAGTTTACAAATCAATTTACAAAAAGAAACAATCATAATCAAAGAAAATTACATTAATGGTAAACTACATGTACATAACAGCTTTAGTTATGAATTCATATTACTTTTAGTTATACATTCCTAAAGTAGCATATTATTTTGTATATCATAATACTTTCAATCAGGGCTCTGCATGTAGAAAAGAATCAGAATGGTTTTATCTACATGTATTTTCTCATCATTCTCAAGAAGTACATTCGTTGATTGCACTTTTTTTCATTTCATGATGCATATCTATATCAAACAGTTTGATGACTAAATTCATAATTTTCTTCTGAAGTTGATTACTAATACAATGTATGCATTTGCAGGTCATGGGACCTTTAAACCCTTCTTACGATATGTCAAATTTTGCTATTTTCGACAACCAATTCATACCAGCATGTTTCTGGCAGATAAGAGTCCATCTTTGGATACCAGCAGTAGTCATAGATAAGCTCTCCCTCATGGATCTGTAGGACAGACTCTGGCTCCCTCTCTTGGTCCGCACTCTCATCATCCGTCTCTGTGCTGATGCGGTGCCCGTATGCTTGAGGTGGAATGTTAAACAGCCGCAAGGTTTGGTCCTCGCTGTTGGTCAATATGCACAGCCCATCTGGAGACCTGTAGAGTACAATCACATCATGTAAACCTGTCTATTAACTGCATTGTTTAAAAATGTTAAATCTGAAAATGCATGGCCTTACATATTATCAGTGCCTGTGATATGGTGTAATATTGAAGCCCTAAAAAATGAAGTGCCACAAAAAAATAAAAATCTTGAGTGACCGGTTTTACCATATTCATTTTCCCCAAAAGACTGTAGTGTGAGGAAAAGGAATTTTTAAATTTCAATTTGCAATCATAAATATCTTGATAATCAGACAGGCGATCAGCTGGAAAAAGTCATGGGGTCCTGACTGACCTAAAGGTTTATGATTATCATTGCAGCATCTAAGACAAAGTTACCCAATTCCTTTAAAGCTAATCTTAAGCTCTGGTATGGGCATCGTATGTTGAGAGAACATGGCTACAATTCATTTAGGATTGTTTCTCCTGCAGTAGATTGATTGTTTGAACCTGTAAAATAAAAACCTCACAAAAATTTGCTTGAAATCATAGGGACCTGTGTTAAGCACATGGTGTCGAGCCTACTTACCTTGATTTCTTTACGGTACCTTTCTATACTCGTTACTCAGCCCCTAAACATTTTCTAACAAAATCGTTTGGCACATGTTATTTATTTGTTATCTTTAACATTCAGTGTAAGTTTTGTTGGATTCTGTTAGAAAAAAAATTCTATCATTACCAGAACTCAAGCATGTCCTTAAGGAGTTGCTGGACCTGTTTAGTTGTCCACATTGGCAAAATACCCTCAAAAGACAAAGTACATTGAAACATGCCATAAGACCACTCAGGGGAAATATCTTTTGTTCTTCTAAAGCATTTAGATTTTCTGTACACAGTTAATCAACAGAGCTGGTATAACTGGATTTCATGATCTCCATAGTCGATACTTGCCATTTGCATCCTTTGAGGAAGTTGCCTTTCACCGTATTGAACTCTGCAGACATCTTTGCAATCAGAACAGGCTCCTCAGAAAAGTTGAAGCTGAGACAGAGAGAAAACAAAAAAGAGATGATAAACAACCTGAAAATGTCTCTAATGTGCATTCATTATTTGATTTGTGAATAACGAAGAAATTCAAAATATTTACCATATGTACTAAAATGCAAACTGTAATGCTGACAATTCATATTAAACCATCACCTATAAACAAATGGTACAATTTTGAACTAAAATAGTATGCCGTGTGTATCAATCTATGTCTATTTTGTTTTCCATTCATGGAATTATTATCTTAACAAACAGAAACCAAGGAATTTCTAAACATTTGACAAAGGAAATATCCAGGCAAATGTCTCATCAACACGCAGCTAACTTCAAAACGAGAAACATTTGGGGATTTGTTAAACGAGAGCACTTTTACCAGCAAGAAATTTTTGCGAATTGCACATATTCAGTGCAGTATCAGCTGTGACTGATTCATTGCGTAGCATGAAACTTTTGCGAGTTCACCTGAAGGACTCACATACTACTTCTCTGGTTATACAGTATGCAAAGTGCCTGGTAAACTTCAATGGTGGCCATGCAAAGCCTTTTGCAATGTCTCTTCCGGTGGTCCGACATATATTCAAACAATTACTCTAGGCTGTATTCCTTCAAAGATATAGGGTTGATTGGGTTAGGATAGGGTTGCAACTGGGTTATATGAAAGGTTTAGTTTAAAGTTCAAAGTTCAAAGGTTAGATATAGTGTTTGGTCCTGGGTTGAAGCTAGGAGTTTGGTAAGTGTAAAATATTGTTGCCAGAGCACTTGTCAGACACCTGTCTCTTTCCTTACACTGACCTTTGACTATTTTCTGCTTCCATGTCTGTATCCTCCCACACTGCATCCATCCCAATGTCTGCCGGCTCCATTGCCGTTACCATGGCGATCTCATCTGCTTCGCAATCCTGCCTCTTTTCCGCCACATCCGGTTCGCTCTTCCCAGCAGTGTCTGCTGCATCTTTCTCCGAGTCTGCCAACACTGGCGATCTCTCTAATTTCTGCTTTTCTGAGTCTGCTAACACTGGCAATCTCTCTACCTTCTGCTTTTCTGATTCTGCTGCTGACTTTCTGTTGATTGTTTCCCCTTCACTATCATGCCTCTTTTCCGCAACATCAGGTTCGCTCTTCCCAGCAGTGTCTGCTGCATCTCTCTCCGAGTCTACCAACACTGGCGATCTCTCTAATTTTTGCTTTTCTGAGTCTGCCAACAATGGCAATCTCTCTACTTTCTGCTTTTCTGATTCTGCTGCCAAGTATTTGTTGATAGTTTCTGAAAGGACATCTTGGGGTTCTGCGTCTTTGTTATCCGGAAGAGACATTGTGCTTGGTATCTGATTGGAATCTGTCATCAAGTTCTTCTGAGAGCTGGCGTTTGTTTGGAAACTTAAAGCGATGTTTTCATCAGCTACTCCAACTAACTACAGCACCACCCCTCTCTGACTCAATGATTACTGACTTTGTTGAAGTACTGCCAATGATTGCAAATCGTCTCCATTGCCACGAATTGCAATTTCATTCATCCCTTTTTCTTAGATGATCTGCAATTGCAAGTTAAGATGATGATTAATATGTGGAAACTTATATTAGTGAGCACTTCGATTTTTCTGATTTTTCTAACTCAACACCCCCCCCCCCCCCCCCCCCCTCCCTTCCGTTGGGCCAAAAGAAAATTGCATACGATCTCCATCTAAGGAGTTCCCCCAAAGTTGACAGCCCTGGATTAATACAGTTGATAACTTCGGACATGCTCGCTCCCCCACACCCCTTCGTCGGTACGGTACGGTATGCAATTGTATTGTAATCGTGCAGCAGTTTGCCGTGAAACCTGTGACTGTGAGAAAGTGAATAGATCTATTAAATGTCTTCGTTTTTAGCAAAAAATACTCCAAAAAAGATAAGAAAATTGACACAAAAGGCTCAAAGGAGTAAGAAATATAACAAAATTTATATCATGACCATTATTTGAACAATCGATGAAGATTAAGTAGATTTTCTGGTATGTTTTAGTAGGGTATCTCCACGCGGGAGTCACGGGTCAAAAATAGATACCAAAGTACACTAGCCGCTAGCGCCACGTTCTCTTCGTGATTTGAAAGCGAACATGAACACTACACCAACATACACGAATGGGACTGGAATGAGTATGAGACTCAAACAAAGAAATGCAAAGAACTCGGATAATGGTGAAAATGTAGATTAAAAAATCATGTCTTCCACAATGTCCACTTCCATGCACTTATTTACATTCAAAATTATGTTAATTAATGCATTAGTATTTAAATAAATAAATATTTAATTAAAAACCTACCTAGGCCGAGGGTCTACACTCAGCTACCGCAATTCAGTTTCATTTTGCCGCTTTTAGCTATAGCGCCATCTCAGCCGTGACTCGGCGACTCGAAATTATTGAGATACAAAAATTGATTGATTGATTGATTGATTTTTATTCGACAAGCTTCCAACATACAACAATATACAATAATAACAGATCAAAAAAAGTCAGCTTGAACAGGATAACCCACGAAAGCTCGAGAGCTTATTTCCAGTGGGGTCCCTTACAGACATGTATAAAATTAATAAGTTAAAATAGTAATATTTACAGACAGATAAGAAAATTAAAAGAACTACTTATTAAAGATAATAATAATAATAACAACATTAAACTGATGATAGAAATGATATTAAGTACAAGAAGAAAAAGAAGAAGGAGAAAAAGAAAAAGAGGAGAAGGAAGAAGAGGAAAATAATGATGAATTTGTAGAATTTCTATAACGTACGAAAACATAAGTATATACAACATGAAAAAGTATGAACCGACAGAATAAAAATTTCAATCATAATTATAACATGTCATTCACTTCTCTTCTCTGACTGTCAAGTATTAGGTATTCCTTTAATTTCCTCTTAAAATGATCATAGTTTCCTATTTCTTTTACACCATTGGGAAGGGAATTCCAATGTTTTATGGCATTGTAATAAAACGAATTTCCAATACTACCTACTCTTTCAGGTAAGTTAAAGTTGAATCGTCTATTTCTTGTATTATAATCATGTACGTCAGTAACAAGATCGAAGTTGGATCGAATATAATGATTCGACCTAGTATGATATATTTTATGCACATGATGCAATACGAGTTGTTTTGATCTTTGGTCGACTTCAAGAAAACCAGCTTTAGAAAGTTCGCTGTAGCCAACATGAGTTCTTGGACCAGAACAGTTGATAAATCTCACCATTTTGTTCTGTATAATCTTCAACTTCTTTTGATCTGACTTGTTTATGTTACTATACCATGCAGGGTTAGCATAGTCAAATAAACATTGAATAAGAGCAAAACAGAGTGTACGTCTTGCTTTTAAATCCATACAACTTTGATATCTGTACAAAAATTTCAGACGAGAATTTGCTTTTTTTACAACTGATTCTACTAAAGATGAAAATGAAATTGCGCTAGCCAACTCAATGCCTAAATACTTCACAGACTCTTTTCTCTTGATTGCTTGATTATTGTGTGTCACTTTGAATTCAAATGACTTTTTAGAACTACTTTTAGAACAAAATAAAATGCTTTCTGTTTTTCTCAAGTGTAAAGAAAGCTTATTATCAGTCATCCAATCGACACACGTAGACAGCTGTTCACTGAGCTTTTCCTCAATATATTTAGGATCAGGATTTGAATAGAGTAGTACGCTGTCATCTGCGTACAATAATAGTTTGAAGTCTTTTATACAAATACACATATCATTTATATAACTTGAAAATAGAATTGGGCCTAAAATGCTTCCCTGAGGAACACCGCAAGTTATAGGCATTAGTTTGGAACGAATATCATGAATGGCCACTACTTGGTGCCGATTAGATAAGTAGGATCTAAACCAATCTAAACTTCCCTTATCAAAACCCATTATAGTTGTAACTTCTTCAATAAGACGCAATGATTAACTGTATCAAAAGCTTTTTGCAGATCAAGGAGCACCATACCAACAAAGCGCCCTTGGGAAGTTTCTCTCCTCAAATAATCAGTCAAATGAATTAGACATGTTTCAGTCGAATAATCATGTCGAAAACCAGATTGAAATTCATAAATTATATCATTTTCTTTGAAGTATCTTTCAATTTGAACACAGACAGATTTTTCTAGAATCTTTGATGCTACGCTTAAAACACGAATAGGTCTATAATTGCTAACATCAGTTTTATCTTTCTTTTTATAAAGTGGAGTCACTTTTGCTATTTTCATATCCTCTGGAAAAGTACTCGTCAAGATAGATAGGTTCATTAAGTAACTTAGAGGCTTAAATAAAACCTTCGCACCATCTTTTAGAAATTTAGCTGGAATCAAGTCTAACCCAGTACTTTTTGATACATTCAACTTACGTAACTCTTTGAAAACAAATTGTTCACTGATTGGTAATAACTCGAAGCTGTTTTCACGTACACCTTTTCTTTCGTAAAAGTCACGAATACAATCATTGTCTGCGCTGAAAAAGTCTTTGGAAGGGGGGAGTTTGTCTACTAATTTGGCAGCCACATTTGTGAAATGAGAATTGAATTCATCAGCGATGGCCATCTTATCATGACATAATTCCCCATCAATTTTAATGATAGATTCTTGTTCTTTTCGCTTCTTATTTTTCAATCCTAAGCTTTTTAGATTCTGCCAAAGTTTTTTCGAATCTTGTTTATTTTCTTCTATCTTGTTTTGTAAGTAAACGAGTTTAGCCTTTTTCACCTCTCTTTGGACCATATTTCTTAATACTCTGTATCTTTTATAGAGCTTCTCATCTTTTGCTCTTTTCCTCCATTTTTTGTATACTATATTTCTCTCTTGAATTAGGGAAAGAATATCTTTAGTCACCCAAGTTTCTGATCTTTGTTTTATTCTTATCCGTTTCAGTGGCGCTATCATATTCAAATTTGAGATAAAAACATGTTGAAATATTGACCATGCCTCATTTACATCTGTACAGTCAGTTATTCGTGACCAATCAACAACAGATAGTTGAAGATTGAAAGACTCTTCTGTATATTTTTTCATGGATCTGATATCATTAGTCCTGTGATGACCTATAGCCAGTCTAACATTTTTCCGTGTACAGAAAGTAAAATAATGGTCGCTAATACCTAGATCGATGACACCACTTTGACTTATTTTATTTTCTTTGGTACAACCAACATGATCCAATAGAGAAGAACATGTAGGTGTAACGCGTGTTGCCTCTTTAATGAGTTGACTAAACCCATATATTTTTTAGCCATTGGCGATTTGCGAAGAAGACAATATTCATGTCTCCTAAAAGAATTATTTCGTCATCCTTCTTTAATGTATCAAGAATATTGGACAATTTCTCGATAAACAAATTGTTTTTCGGAGGTCGATACAGAACGCCAACAACAATTGGTTTTGATCTTGGTATAAGCAAATTTATCCACAGGGATTCCGTACTAAAAAAAATGAAATTGAATTGAATTGATACAAAATTCAAAGTCACAGATAAAAGCTGAGACATCTTGAATTTGCAAATTAAACTGGAACATATAAAATACATGCAAATAGAAGTAGTACAATGTAAAAAAGAAAGAAAAAAATGCAAATATGAAATTAATAGCCTATACTATATGCCCCGACTATGCCAAAACCCTGCAAATTTAGCCCTATATATATTTTGTAAATAGAACCATATATGAAAATTCAAACTTGAGTTCTGTAAAGGATGGGAGAAACGGTTGAAAGCTAACACAATCACTTATTTTGTCGTAATTTCGGGGGGAGGTGGATGGAACATCGTCGAAGGTGAAGAATTATGATGAAGACGTATTAGACGTATTCAAGAGGAAAAAATTAGCAATTTATTAGCGCAAAACTCTTCAGCTCAAAAAGAAACTTGAAAAGGGCACATTTCGATATTAAGAACAATTGCTTCCTCTGTTCTTACCTCCAATAAAAGGAAAAGATTTTCCTTGGTGATAAGGATTTTTAATAGGGCACATTTTGAAATTCAAATGGACACCTTTTTTGTCACTCTGTTCTTTCTCTCCTCCTGGCACTTTTACACTTCCATGCCATGTCTTCCAATTCGTCAAGTTTCAAAATGCCATGGGCGGGGGAGGGGGGGGGGGGGGGTCAAGATAATTATGGCATTTTAGAAATTCACATATTAATGAAGTATATGAAAAGAGGCAAAAATCAAATTAAAAGGACTCTTTCTAGAGAAGTATCATTTGAAAGCGTTTAAAAAGAGTTTAGGGATTTCAGTCATGTAGAAAAACTGTAGGCATGCGTGACCACAGGTTTTCCAGACTGACCCCTAATCAAGGATTTCTTCTAAAGCCAAAATACAATTCCTAAATGAGGATTTCGAGAGGTTTTCTCTCGAATTCACATACGGGTATTTCACAATCGTGTACCCCTAAAGTCCTAAACAAGTTTTGTAAAATTGTGTAGCCCTTTGAGCATTTTTAAGTGCGACAGAGATTACCATTAAAGTTGTTGACAATGTAAAATAATTCAAATTGCGCTTCCGTGATGTAAAATTCACGATGTAAACATTTATTATCAATAGAAAAGCAATAATATCAACCTGTACACTTCCAAATGGGTTTAATGCACAGCCATCATAAGTATTAAAAAAAGAATTACATTTAAAATTTGATCTATTTCATATAAAGTACATGACTTTGTATAGTTTTTACATAAAGTACACAATTAACATTGTGTACGACAATGTACACGACGTCATTAATCACCATATAGATGCAACCACAATGGCAGAATCGTGCACATATTGACCATATTGACCATAGTGACCATATTGACCATATTGACCATATTGACCATATATTGACCATAATTACCATAATAAATTGTTGTCGTATACAAGCATGTCACATGCTGGTACGCGACCCATAACGGTGCTTCGTTATGTGTTTTTTCATTAGCAGGATGACGTAACCGAAAGTTATAGACAATCGGCTTCCCGACCAGCTTTTTTTATTCGGAGTCGGGATCTATATAGAAAAATACCCTATAGCAGGATTTTGAAAAAAGTACCCTATTCCTTGAAAATGGACGTTTTTTAACCACCGCCAAGGGGGGGGGGGGGGGGGGGGGGGGGGTTAATATATTGAGACATAAAGGGGGTGTGCCGCTCTAAAAAAAAATCCTAAACATGGGTCCTATTTTTAACAAAAATATCCCAAAACATGCATGGGTCCGCTTTTTCAAAATTTCAAAAATGTTTGTGTGTTTGCATGGCTAACACCCGAAAATTGTGAAAATGTGCTTTACTTTGAGAAAAATCCCCCCAAAATGACCCTTAAAAATCGGTAGGGGTTTCGAGGCTTTAGCGGCACACCCCAGTCCAAACCAGATCTGAGTAACCCCCCCCCCCCCCCCCCCACGGGAAAATGACAATGTT